AACACCACACACCTGCAAGATATTTAGCAGCCATCCAACGGTACCCAACGTTGCCACGCCCACATGGCAATACTGTCCAGCTGCCCGGCCTATATCTTGTAACAGCACGATACGCCTGCAGGTGGCGTCTCACGGTGTCTCTCTCGCTCCCTCTTCCTCTCTCGGGCTCCATGTCTGGGGTTCTGCTTCACTGACAAAGCGACTCTGGGATGTCGCCTTGGCACCACTACAGGTCCCTCCTTAGGCCCTAGGAACCTAGGAAACTGTCCAACTTGCAGAATCTGTGGAGGATGCAGTCGAACTGCCCCGAGCCTTCGGCACAGCTGTCCTACCAAGCAAGACAGCGTCGGAGTGCAGCGGGTGGTCAAGCACCTGGCTACGAGTACTCTCGCACATGTAAAGGAAATTCAGCCACAGGTAGACATGTAATGAGGATAGCTGAGGTCTGAGTTCCTTGCCGATCCATGGCGTTGGGATGCATCTTTCGGAATCGTTCGCTATTGCTTCATACAGTCGTCCGTTGCTGTCCAGCTTCCCGAAGTCGGTCACTAGCCACGCAGCTTCTCAAGTCGTGCGGTGCTTGGCAGATGTAGCTTCCTTCGTCACTGAATCGCTAGCAGCAGCAGATCTGGCCACAACAGCTGCGACAAAGATTGACGAATGATCGACGTGCATGCATACATGTATACAATATACATGCACATGGCGTGTGGGTGTGTCTATATTTATACAGTTTCATATGTTTAATACAGGAATGTGAAATTCCCCAAACAGCTTCCTGTAAGGTTTCCGGGATGCCTCAAGCGTGGATTTTGACCCATGCACGATGCGCAACGCGCTCGACATCTCCAACGATTGGCGCTGGATTGAGCACCTTGCCTTTGCCATTCCTGTATATATTTGATACCTTTGAAGCTTGAAGTCTGCGGCTTCTTTCTTGCGAGGTAAAGCCAGTTTGTGCGGTAACACTGTATAGTTTGTGCACATGCCATTCCTCTCTTACATGGGTCTTCGCTGGTGCAATTCTACACGATATACCCTTTATGCAGGCATCCAGAGAACTACCTAATTATGGATCATCCTGGCATATGTTTTTTTTACACAATCCGCCGAGGCCTGGGTAGGTGTCTGGGTAGCACAAAGCAGGCACCCCACCTCTGATCCCCCTCCACAGCCCAGGATCACCTTTATTTTGCACTTTTTGGTCTGAATGCGAACCCCCCCTAGCCGACAAGTGTCCGGGAGCAAACGGTGCATCAGGACCAGGGGGCACTTCAGCCTACCATGGGGGTCGCCTTTCGCCTTGGCCCTGGCCCCTCCCCCACCCCACCCAGCCCACTGGTTTGGGTTGCCTTCTTACACAAGCTCAGGCCGAGGCGGGCCGCACAGCGTTAATTGAAATTATACGGGCATAGCTATGCCAACCATTGCTGAGTATGTCGTTGCAGTTCAACACTCATTGGGGTTGGGGGGGAGGAAGACTCACACTGCCAGTTTTATCGATCTGCACAAGTCGTGTCGACAGTAGCAAGTGGCAGACATATGGGCACGCGGCCGAGGGTTCAGCTCATCATTTAAGGTGAGCAAGGCGGCCGGGGCCCGGTCAAGGAGTTGGCAAGTGGCTTGAGAGGCCTGCGCACTTCTGACATGGAAAGAGCTCCTTTCCTAGAGGACACTGAGCAACAACCTTTGAGAGGTCTGACATGGAACCGAAGGCTCCGAGGGAGCCACAGGCCGCGTCGCGGCATAATGGGGAGTCATGTGTAGGAGGCCGCGGAAATTCCTCCACCGTCTGCTCGGCCCGAGCTGCCTCTGACCAAGGCTTTGATGGCCTTAAGCAGATCTTGCACTGCAAGCGCAAGCCGCCCGAGCCGCGCCCCGACCTGCCTCGCACTTTGGCCACTTTGGCGCTGGAGCAGCGGGCGGTCATGCCGTTCAACGGCTCGCGGGTTCGAGGCGGACCCCGCGCCAGCATCTGGCATGCTTTTGGGCACCAGGCCGGCCACGTCACAAGCTTCGGAAGAGCTGCTGTCAACGGCCAGCATGGCCAGCATGGCCAGCATAAGCATGGCCAGCGCATCGCCGAGCAGCCTCTGGGCCGGGACGGGGGAAGGCAGAGATGCGGCAGCCACCTCCGGTCGCCGCATCCGGCCGCCACCCGGCCATCGTCGTTCTCAACGATGGTGCGGAAGGACTGCCCGCGCCTCGCGCCCGCGCCCTGTTGCGCCCTGACGCACGCTGTGGCGAGCAAGTCGGCCCCCGCGCCGCGGGACCTGCTCAGCACAGCGCGCCTCTTCGGATGGCTGCCGCTTGCCCCGCTCCTCCACAAAGACTCAGATAATTGGGCATAGAACATTGCCGTGACTCCAGCTTTGCGTCCCTAGCTTTGCGTCCGGCTGGCAAGCAGCGTGTGTGTGCCCAGACAAAGCAGCGCTGCGTCGGAATGCCGTGGGCAAAGTGCAAGCGCAGGCCCCGAAACCTCCGGACAAAGGCATGGAGCTCGGACTGCGCCGAAACCTGTCAGGCTATGTCAGGCTCGGACCGCTCGAAGTGTGGCTCAGGCGCCATGCCACAAGTGCTGCCAGCGGATGCCCGCCCTGGGGAGGGCACAGCGTCTCGTATGGCTGCGCCTCCCCGGACACCATCGGACCAAACGACCGTGGCGAAGATGCTGCAAGGGTGAAAGTCCAAGTGCCTCAAGCACCAGCACAGGCAGCGTCACAGGCTTTTTGAGGGCCCCTTGGAAGCACGGATTGGCGCTCGCAGCTCGCATGATCGACGAGCGCTCAACTCAAGTGCTACTACTTTGGGGCAGCCTGTGCTTGGGACAACGGCGGGCCCGCGGGACTATCGGAGAGGCTGTCTCAAGGTCCCGCGATGACCTGCGTGCGGCTGAGTGGATGGCGAAGCGGACCTCTGGTCAAGAAAGGAAAGCCCGGAGGGGAGCAGCGGATGCGGTGCGCAAGGCGGCAGCGCGCAACGTCCTCGGTTCGGGCTGTGCGAGCCCTGACCTGCGAGCCAGGTCGGCCTGACCACGCAAGCCGGGGCAGCCAGGTTCTCTGCCTAGTCCGCGCGAGAAGCCTCGCAGAAAGAGCAGCCGAGTGACGCTCAGCTTTTGGACCGTCGGTGCCTCCGGCCTACGCACAGGACGGCAGCACGTGCAGCGCTTCAACCTTGGGCGGCCACTGCTCACTTGCGCCTGCTGGGTATCCCAATAAATCTCAGTGGGTTGTCGGCACGGCTACCAACACGCGCTGACTCTGCAGCTCCTGCACCTTTGATCGCGCTGAAGTTGGAGCTGTCGTGGTTCCTTGCTTGCTGCCGTAGGAACTTGCCAGCTCAGAGGATGGCTGGTGATGGCTGGTGTTATCTGGTTTGTTTAAGGGCAGTCGGGCACAGCAGCAGCCGCTGTGGCTTCTGAAAGCTCCACAACTTGCACAGAGAGCTGCGCTGGCGAATGGGTCGCAGAGCGAGCCGCGTGCAGCTCAACGAGCAGTGACGAGCAGCTGGTGGAACATTTGGCGAAGCGGTGCCAGAGCGTGAGTCCTTGGCAACCTCTGCTCGCAGGGTCCGAGTTCTCAGGTGCTTGAAGCTCCGCAGATTGAACCGGAAGCTCTGTCGGCGAATTGCTTGCAGAACCCTCGTGGAGTTCAATAAGCAGCCACTGGGGCGAGACGTGGTGACATGGTGAGGATGAGACAGAGTCAGAGATGGTGCCACAGCTTGAGCCACTTGAGCACCTTGCAACTTCTGCTGAACAAGTGTGTGCAACGTCAACGAGAACACATAGCTTCGCTGGATAGGGTGCAGATGGCTTAGTTGCTTACATGGCTGGCAGCTCTGAGGCGTGGTAAGTGAAGGAATGAGGTGCCTGACGTTGCTACGGGTGACAGGTGGCAATGCTCGACTTGCAGCACGTAGCAGCATCCTCCACGCATTCCGGGGCGACGAAGAGCACGGGAGAGCGCCGCTGTGGCTTCTTAAGGCGCCATGACTTCAATGTTCCAAAACACTCAACACTCAGGGGCCTACCCGGACCGCGGCAGTGTACCCAAGGCAACAAGCATGATATATTGGTTTCAGGCACCCCTATACTCCCCTCGAGGCATCTTGAAGAAAAGGCTTAGGCTCGCCTGAGATCGCTGACGAGCCGCCTTGCTTAAGGCCGAGCTGCTCTTCATCGCCTCCTTTCTGGGCCGGAGCCGTCGCACCTGTCGCCGCCACCTAGGATGCCACGTTCAGATCGAGCTGAGCTCGTCCGGCAAATGCCAGGAGCCGCTGAACTCTGTACGGCACAGTCAATCTGTGTGCATTCTACGCACGTGCTTCTCGTCAGGCCCTGCTGATACTGTCCGGGAAGCGCAGCTTTGCTGAAAGCCCAAGTGGCTCAAGCAGACTCCGGGAAGTGCGTGAACCGGCCTTGCCACTGTCATGTGCAGGGGACTGTAGTCTCAAGAGTCGTCGTGAAACTGCTACGCTCGCGGTTGTTTTGCTTGTATGGCTTCCTGCATGCATGGTACACATTGTACACATGGCAACTTTCTGGAAGCACGCATTGCGCGTCTGTGGTTCCAACATCCCCTGCCGCAGGCCGCAGCTGAGATCTGAATGGCGCACTCAACCTGCACGTGCTCCACACGAAGCTATCGGATCGGGGCAAGCACCGCGGATGTCAACTTCAAGTCGAGCTGAGACCATTCGGCAAACAAAGCCTTGCTGAGAGCTCAGGGGGTCGTGCGCCATGCCCAGATCGCCCACAGCTGTCGACTGGCTTCGGGAAGAGCGCGCGCGTGAGAGACTTGCGAGAGGTGCTGTGGCAAGCTGTCATTGAGTCATCGCACTGTTATGCTGGCAGAAGGATCAAGGCACACCCTTGCCCTCCCGGAACACGTGTGGAAACAAGGGTGCTCATGATAATTTCGCTCACTGGCATGGTTATCAAGGCCAAGGCACCTTTTGAAACAACGCATTGCGCGGCTGCGGCTCCAATGTCCATCCTTTCACGCCGTCGTTGCTAAGCTGCCTAGAGACTGTACAATCTCATCAAAATCCAGGACTTCCCCGAACAAGTTGTGCCACGCCCGACGCCAGCGGCAAACCACATTTTCTGCCTGGTCCCCAGACATTTCTGGCGAAATTCGGCCTCTCCAGCGGCTGTCCATTTCTTTGAGCGGCAGTTTGGCCCTAAGTGTGAGCCATGGAGCCTCCTCAAGCCCGTAATCGTCCATAAGGAGGATCTGTGGAAGCTGCGCAGCAGGGACCTGCTCCCAAAAGTCCAAGATCATCTCCTCGTATGCTCCCAGAGGCATCCGCCCGGACGTCTGAGCGATGACCCGCAGCTTTTCCACCCGGAGTCTCCAGCGCGGGTCGGGCGACTCAAACGCTGCATCGGCATCTGCAAAGTACTGACAAACAGGAGGTGCAAAACCCAGAACTTCTCTCAATGTTTCGGCCGTGTAGTGCAACGACCGAGGCAACCGTCTGATGTGGAGCTCGACAAACTGCAGTGGGTCTACTTTTCTTGCCAGTGCTTCGTTGAGCAGGACGGTCAGGGTAGATTTGCCCGTGCCGGGAGCCAAAGCTACCAAAGTTGTTCTCTTGGACAACGCTGCGAATCTCTTGCTCAAACTGTCGTGGCGCGCCAACGCATCGGAAGCTGCTGTCTCTGGCTCTGGGCCATTTAAGACCACACTCCCAGCAGAAGTCGAGCTCCAAACTTCACTTCGAGGCCGAAGGATTGCTTTCCAGCGACAACGAGCCGATGAACTTCTCGCCTACCCCGACCGCATGCTCCGCAAGGAACACACTGCGTGCAGAGCATCGCGAAGAGGCTGACTCAGCGAAGCCACGTTGAGGCTGTGGCCAAGGAATGTTATTTCCAAAGATGGCAACGTGAAGCAGCATGAAGCAGCCGGAAAAAAATGTAGACTGGCTAGCCTTGGTCCCCTGCCGCAGGCCGCAGCTGAGATCTGAATGGCGCACTCAACCTGCACGTGCTCCACACGAAGCTATCGTATCGGGGCAAGCACCGCGGATGTCAACTTCAAGTCGAGCTGAGACCATTCGGCAAACAAAGCCTTGCTGAGAGCTCAGGGGGTCGTGCGCCATGCCCAGATCGCCCACAGCTGTCGACTGGCTTCGGGAAGAGCGCGCGCGTGAGAGACTTGCGAGAGGTGCTGTGGCAAGCTGTCATTGAGTCATCGCACTGTTATGCTGGCAGAAGGATCAAGGCACACCCTTGCCCTCCCGGAACACGTGTGGAAACAAGGGTGCTCATGATAATTTCGCTCACTGGCATGGTTATCAAGGCCAAGGCACCTTTTGAAACAACGCATTGCGCGGCTGCGGCTCCAATGTCCATCCTTTCACGCCGTCGTTGCTAAGCTGCCTAGAGACTGTACAATCTCATCAAAATCCAGGACTTCCCCGAACAAGTTGTGCCACGCCCGACGCCAGCGGCAAACCACATTTTCTGCCTGGTCCCCAGACATTTCTGGCGAAATTCGGCCTCTCCAGCGGCTGTCCATTTCTTTGAGCGGCAGTTTGGCCCTAAGTGTGAGCCATGGAGCCTCCTCAAGCCCGTAATCGTCCATAAGGAGGATCTGTGGAAGCTGCGCAGCAGGGACCTGCTCCCAAAAGTCCAAGATCATCTCCTCGTATGCTCCCAGAGGCATCCGCCCGGACGTCTGAGCGATGACCCGCAGCTTTTCCACCCGGAGTCTCCAGCGCGGGTCGGGCGACTCAAACGCTGCATCGGCATCTGCAAAGTACTGACAAACAGGAGGTGCAAAACCCAGAACTTCTCTCAATGTTTCGGCCGTGTAGTGCAACGACCGAGGCAATCGTCTGATGTGGAGCTCGACAAACTGCAGTGGGTCTACTTTTCTTGCCAGTGCTTCGTTGAGCAGGACGGTCAGGGTAGATTTGCCCGTGCCGGGAGCCAAAGCTACCAAAGTTGTTCTCTTGGACAACGCTGCGAATCTCTTGCTCAAACTGTCGTGGCGCGCCAACGCATCGGAAGCTGATGTCTCTGGCTCTGGGCCATTTAAGTCCACACTCCCAGCAGAAGTCGAGCTCCAAACTTCACTTCGAGGCCGAAGGATTGCTTTCCAGCGACAACGAGCCGATGAACTTCTCGCCTACCCCGACCGCATGCTCCGCAAGGAACACACTGCGTGCAGAGCATCGCGAAGCTGCGAACTTGTGACTCAGAAGAAGCGAATCCGCGTTGAGGCCGTGGCCAGGAAAAGCAGTCGGAAAAAAGTGCAGACTGTTGCTAGACTGCTAGACCTCTCCTGCGGCCCCTGCCTCAAGCCAACCTGCTGAATCTGGCCTGCACACAATCAACCTGCACGTGCTCTACCCTCTACCCGAAACGCATCGGGGCAATCACCGCGGATGTCTGAAACGGGCCGACGCACCTCCTCCTCCCGCCCCCACGTGCTCCCCAATGAACACGCTGCGTGCAAAGCATTGCGAAGCTGCAAACTTGTGACTCAGAAGAAGCGAAGCCGCGTTGAGGCCGTGGCCAAGGACCTGCTATTTCCAAATATGGCAACGTGAAGCAGCCGGATGAAAATGTAGACTGCTGCTAGAATGCTAGCCTTGGTCCCCTGCCGCAGGCCGCAGCTGAGATCTGAATGGCGCACTCAACCTGCGTGTGCTCCACACGAAACTGTCGTATGGGCGCAAGCACCGCGGATGTCAACTTCAAGGTCGAAACAAAGCCTTGCTGAGAGCTCAAAGGGGGCGGTCGTGCGCCATGCCCAGATCGCCCACAGCTGTCGACTGGCTTCGGGAAGAGCGCGCGCGTGAGAGACTTGCGAGAGGTGCTGTGGCAAGCTGTTATTGAGTCATCGCACTGTTATGCTGGCAGAAGGATCAAGGCACACCCTTGCCCTCCCGGAACACGTGCGGAAACAAGGGTGCTCATGATAATTTCGCTCACTGGCATGGCTATCAAGGCCAAGGTACCTTTTGAAACAACGCATTGCGCGGCTGCGGCTCCAATGTCCATCCTTTCACACCGTCGTTGCTAAGCTGCCTAGAGACTGTACAATCTCATCAAAATCCAGGACTTCCCCGAACAAGTTGTGCCACGCCCGACGCCAGCGGCAAACCACATTTTCTGCCTGGTCCCCAGACATTTCTGGCGAAATTCGGCCTCTCCAGCGGCTGTCCATTTCTTTGAGCGGCAGTTTGGCCCTAAGTGTGAGCCATGGAGCCTCCTCAACCCCGTAATCGCCCATAAGGAGGATCTGTGGAAGCTGCGCAGCCTGGACCTGCTCCCAAAAGTCCAAGAGCTTGGGATGCTCTCTAGCATCGCCCTCCAGGAGAGAGTGACGTGGGCGACTGGACAAGCAACATTGAGCGACTTCAACCTTTGGTCGATGAGCGGGGAAGCACGTGAGAACGGCCTAGAACTTAGAACAGCTTGCCTCGCTCGCAAGCTACTGCCAGCGAGGCCAATCTAAAGAATCTAAAGGGCTCATCGGTTGGCTCATCGGTTCATCGCAGGTTGTGAGGGTGGGAAGGATGCCTAACGCGATTCCCACAGCAAACACAGCAATACTGCCCTGAAGAAAGGCGTGCCGCCATCTGCAGCTTCTCCTTCTCTATGCAGGTATGCCCGCGCATGGCATGGAAGAGTGGGATAGAGTTTATGCCAAAAGGCATCGCCGAGGGCTTGCTGCCACTCAGCTTGCTTCGGCCAGACCCTGGACCTGCTATTCCAGACGTTCATCTGGGATCTGCGTTGAGCGCGTTATGGCGCGTTCAGGCGGTCACACAGACCATTTCAGACGACCATTCTAGACTTCTCCTCAGCACTTTGGAGGCACTGCCGATGCAAAGCACGACGCGTTGTGCACATGGAGCAAATCCTCAGAAGCGTTCCGAAGCCCTCCTGCAAGGTGTATGTCCCAGACCAGGGTCTGCAAACTGAAGGCATGCCGTGGAACAGCGTGGTCACTTCAAAGCCGCCACCGGCTTCATCCCTGCCCGTGCGTCATGCTGGAGTCGAAAGGCTCTATAGTCGCTCTGACCACAGAGCTTCGCAAGAGTAAATCAGGGTCCCGCCCTCCAAGCACGAGATGAGTATAGAGAGGGCGCCAAACAGCTTGGACGGCCGAATCGAACCGAAAAAAGTGCGGCCTGTTCAGAGCCGAGCTGTTTTCTACATTTCCTTGGATCAGCTTAGGGGCCACGCAGGGGTCGACACGTTCCAGAATGATTCCAATAGTGCCCAAGAATCGCCAGCCCGCCCGCTTGAGCGTTCCAGTCCCAGAGGCAAACCGAGCCATCAATGCTCCCAGTGGCTACAAGACACGAACCACTATGCCGTTGCGCCCGTGCCCCAATGGTCGAAACGCCCTTGTCATGCATCTTCTCGAGCACAACCTCAACAGCTTCATTTTCGTGTGGAAGCAACTTGAACAGGGACAAGCCTGTGGAAGGCAGCATGATGAAGTCGAGCACGTCGTGCGACTGTGGAACTATCCGATTTGTGCAGCCTCGATTAGTGTTGCGATGCAGCCGCAGTCGCTAGCTTCGGAGGGAAGGGGTTTCCATCTGTCTGTATATGCCCAAGGCGCGGTTCGTACGATTGACGTGGCAGTATCCTCACCGGCCGTCGTCGCACTCGTCGAAGTCAACTTGAACCCCATTTTCCAGAGGCGGCTCTTCTCATGGATGCACAAGTACATGGCATTATGTGGTGATTGAAGAAGCCGAAGAGTTTGTGCATCGCCTCAATGTGTTTGCCAAGAGCGATGCGTTCATTGAGATCCATAATCAAGAGGCAAATGCCCATGGGTATACACTGGGACATCATGCGTATCCTCATTTGACATGGAAAGCATGCTGATAGTTTGAAGGCGGCATAAGCCTCAAGGCCTCACTCAAGCGCATGTGCCACGAGTGCACACTGCATCGCATCGTGCAAGACGTTCTGACTGACTTCTGCAGCTGCGATGGCGAAGGGCAGCAAAGGTGCCGATGCCTGGCCCTGGCCGCAGCGCAGGAGTGGATCTGCAGGCCCAGCTCGCTGTCAGGCTGCCAGCTTCAAGTTGTGAGGTAGGCGAACGAGGCCTATTGGGAGCTCTAAGCCGGAGTTTTCATCCAGGAGTCTCATTTAACGACGCAGAAGAAGTGTTGTCGGAACCAGGCTGGCCAAGCAAGCAACGTAGAGCAGCCAGAAGAAAGCGCAGACTGTTGCTGGACCTGTCCTTGGTCCTCTTTCGCAAGCTGCTGGACTCTGTATGGCAGAGTGAACCTGCACATGCTCGACGCAAAACTTTCGCATCGGGGCAATCAGCGCAGATGTCAACTTCGGCAGGTCGAGCTATAAAGATCTCAAGCGGCCGGTCGTCCAAACCGTCCACATCTCCCAAAATGGCCGTCTAGATTCGGGACATGTTTTGGCCTTGCTCGGGTCAGAGGCACGAGATTTGTGATGAGCATTGTCGTTATGACAAAGGCGCATCCTTTCAAGGCCAAACGCATATCACTGCCGTCTCTGGCTCTGGGTCTTTCAAAGCGACCCTCGAAGCAAAAGTCGAGCTCCCAGCTTCTGTCAGGGGCGATCGCTGTCCAGGGCACGGTCCTATGCGCCTCCTCCCAACATGCCCCCAGGGACACCCAGCACAACCGTCATGCGCTCAAGGCTTCCTTGAAGAGACGTCTGCGGGTGACTCAGAAGATGCGCTGCCTCGTGGGGGCTGCGGCCAGGAACCATGATGGCCGAGCGCAGCCTCCCGCTTCCCTAGTTTCAACAGTACAGGATGTGCACCTTGTCACTGACAGCATTGACTTACAAAAGCT